CCTGGGTTTGATTCTGGTCAGGAGCACATGCCTGGGCTGAGGGCTTGATTCGTATGATAGTAGGAGACCTGCGTGAGGCAGCTGATCAGTGATGTTTCTATCTCTCTCTCCCTCTCCGTTTCTCTCTGAAATCAATAAAAAAAATATTTAACAAAAAGAAAACAAATGATCTTCACTTCGGGCTTTTTCATTTTACAATATCCTTTATCTATTTTGGGAAAGATGATCAGGGAAGTGATTCTAGTGGGTAGAAGTTTTATTTGGACGGGAGGGGGTCATAAAAATATTTCAAAATTGAGCATGATGATGGTTGTACCACTTTGAATTTACTTTAAAAAAGCAGTGCTTTGTACATGTTAGGTAACATGTACAGTATATGAATTATATCTCAACAAAGCTGTTTTTTTAAATTTCTTTTTAAATAAAGACCCGTTTTATAATCAATTTTATATGTTTTCAGAGGCCCCCCAGGATTTTCTTACTGCACCTCAAACCACACCTGTGACTCCCAGTTGCCTCCAGTCTTTGTAGATCTGGATGGTGTGATTTGCAAAGGAGAAGGTGGCAAGAGGCTTGTGGAATTTCTGCAACCCCATTCCCGCGGACTCCTTATAGGGCACCAGGGCCATTTCCACTGTTTTAGCTCTCTGCTTCCTTTAATCTGTTGGGCAAAAGAATCCTGCATGCTCTGATCAGAAAGTACATTTTCTTTTAGGTAGCCTGAATGCTTTTCTTAAGGTCGTCTTATGGATTCAAAAGAATAAACAGAGATGTGGAAAGCTTTTGTCAAATTCATTTTTCGTGGTTCTTCCAGTCTCGTGGGAAGTGAGATGTGGCTCTGAATTCATCCCAAAGGGTGTCTTTGGGCAAAAGCACCCAGAACGGCACAATTCCTGCAGGATGATCTACACACTTTGCTGTCAGGACTCAGGGGGGCTTGTGGGTGAGCAAGTACCAGGATAGGACCCGGGAGAAGGTAGCACTTTCAACACTGCCCAGGCCCACGTGGATTGCAGCTGCACCCGCTGAGGTGGCAGGGTGTTTCTGCTGTTTTCTTTTGGTCTGGCCACCACTCCATCAGCCACGGACCTGTGCCTGCACTGCGACTGTGAACGGTTTGATGGTCCCACTTTTTGGTGGACGGTGGATGCACTCCCATCTCCCAGAAACTGGCAGTTAGAAACAGGTGGCTTCTGAGTCCCTCATGGGGAGATCAAGGTCCTAGATCAAGAACAAACTCAGGCATCCTCTGCTAACAGGTTTCCCTAGGATAGCGGTTGCGCCAGTTTGAAGGCCATCCACACCCCCAATTGTGGTGGGGGTCCCCTCTGGGGCACTGGCCGGCAGCGGGGGCTAGGGGCTGTGGTGGTTTGAAGGCTGGATACGCCTCTGATTCAGGCAGGGGTCCCCTCATGGTGACTATCCTGTTCCCTTTGCTCCCTAGTCTGCTGTCTGGTTGTCCGTCTGATCATTTTGGTTGTTATGTTCCCTGACTTTTTATATATTAATATTAGGATAGATTATCTCTGGTAAAATTAAACTTCATCCATTTCAGTTGTTTATATGTGCCTACCTCTCTTAGAACTTGGCATATTTTATTATCAGTGAGCCATCTGTATCTATGCCATATAATTTCACCTAAAAAACATTTTATTTCAGCCCTTACTATGCTGTAGGAAATGTGCCAGACAGTTCACATGCAAGATTATGTTATGAACATTTTACAAAAGCAGTATGATTAAACTGATTTTAGAATCAAGAAAATTGAGGCTGAATCTGTTTTGAATCTTACCTATCTGACCTAAAATTCATTTTAATGTACTGGTCTTTATAATGGTATTTCCCCTAATGTGTTCCTCATCTGATAAAGTGTGAGGCAAAAGACATCTGTGATCACAGGATGGAAATGCACTCCTTGTCCCTCTTAAAGAATCACAATGCACTTAGGATATTAAAGTTTTTATAAAGTTCTGAAAAAAAAAAAAACCCCACAAAACTTCATTTCATTTAGTTTATCTGAGTTCTTCACAAACTTTAGTAGACTGTCAGAGGCTTATTATTTATTATTTGTAAAACATTTATCATTTCAGAACATATTTTGAGAAACTTAGTTTTTTACTGTATTGGGGGATGCTAATTAATCAATCAAAACTCAATTCATTTAGAATCCAAGAAATATAAACCTTGTTATACCATATACTCTCAAGTCAATGTCAGAATGAAGAACATTACTCATTGTGTTATGAAATACTAGTAAATGAAGTAGATCCAGACTATATTTGGGAAAATAAACCAAAAAAACAGGAAACGAATAGGATAGAAAATATCAAGGATGTTGCATGTATAAGTACTGAATCATGGAAGCGGTACTTGGTTACAATGGGAAAAACATTTCTTTCTGTGGTCATGGTCAAAAGTGTTTATAAAGTTTCATTAAAGTCACATTATTGTGAGAGAAGATACAGTGATAACCAATGTCTAAACTTTGTAAAATTAACACAAAAAGAACTACTGTAATGCCATGGCTAAATATAGTATTTGTTATTACTTAGACTTGGAGAATTTTAGAGCTGAAAGTTCTCATAAGGAGAAAACCAAAATAGAGTTTTAGTGACTTGTCAAGGTCAGAGAGCTGTTAGTTGGGCCTAGAACCCACTCTAACATTCTTGTCCTTGTCAATGTAAATTGATATAATGTTTATTTATGGAACATGACTATTATTTATTTAATAAATAAGGAAGGGAGGCAGAAAATCAACAAATCACTCCTAGATTATAAGTCACTAATAGGTTACAAAAATGCTGAAGGAAGAAAATCATTTAGAGAAACTTCTGTGCTGGATCTAATTATAATTATGACTAATAACTGTAATTAACCTAATCCCCCCTGTTATCAGGTGGGGCCATCAGTTATCTGGTTTCTGATTTGTACCTGAAAGTGTCCTGTATATATGATTTTGACAAGACAGCAGGAAACACATGAGTGAACACAATATCTTGCTATTGGAAGTTAATGATGCAATCCTTAAATAATGAATCAAAGTATAGGAAACCCTCCAAACTTACACTTTAGAGACAACAAAACAAACAAAAAAGGAGACAAGGAACTATGACTTAAGGAGGCACCCCTTAGCAAAACAAACGTTAGCTTCTACACATTTCAGGCAGGCTCCTGCAAGATTCTGCCGTTGATGTCTTTTTTTTTTTTTTTTTTTTTTTAAATATATTTCATTGATTTTTTTACAGAGAGGAAGAGAGAGAGAGATAGAGAGTTAGAAACATCGATGAGAGAGAGAGAGACATCAATCAGCTGCCTTTTGCACACTCCCTACTGGGGATGTGCCCGCAACCAAGGTATAATACATGCCCTTGACCAGAATGGAACCCGGGACCTTTCAGTGCGCAGGCCGACGCTCTATCCACTGAGCCAAACCGGCTTTGGCTGCTGTTGATGTCTTAACGACTATGCTTACATTTGTGCCCATTTACTCCTCTTTCATGATCTTTTTGGGAGGGAGTGCGTGTTCGAAGATGGTCAGCGGAGGTTGGAGACACATCTGGTCCTCTTCCATCCCTCTGCTCCCTGGAAAGCACCCTTGGGAGTCCACCCCAAGAAAGCGGGCCTGGGTTTTTGCATTGCGCAAGCTCATCTCCTTGTCCCTTCAGCTCAGGATGGTGTCATCCACTGCCTGGAAGCTGAGGCCACACTGGCCAGAAATCATCTGATAACTTAATCTCGGTGAGAGGAAGAGACGCTGTGGCCTGTGTACGCTAGTGATAAACAGAAGCAGCCGGTGAGTCAAGGAACAGTCGGCGTATCTTTTAAACTTAACATAAACGAATGAAGCATAAACAAGAACTTAAAGGGGGGGCCGGGACCACCCCCACCAAATGAGGGAGGCGCCTGGGGTCAGGAGGGGAGATAACCACGTCCTGAAGACCCGGAGGACCCGGGGGTTCTTTCCGGAGAGGCTTTCCCCGGGCGGGGAGCACCGTGGAGGTTGGAGGGGGTGCATTTCCTAAAGGGACACGTCCTTGGACCCTCCTTCCCTCTTCTTACAATTAACTCAACGCCTGTCCGCCAGGCGGGACCCTGGCTCCCCGGGGTGCCGCCACCCCTCATCCATCTCGGGGAGCGGGGGGTAAGGTGACGATCCCGGGTGGTGGGTCGAGCCAGCCGGGGCCACAGGAGCCCCCGCGCGGTTGCATACCCTGACCCAGCCTGGGGGCCGGCCGGCCGCCCTGCACGGTTCTCCCCGCTCTGCCGTCCTCCTGCGCCGGCTGCCGGGGGCGCGGGCTCGGGCCCCGCGTGACGTGGGCGCCGGGCGGGAGGGGCCGCCCCGGGGGCTCCGGCCGCCTTATTAGCGCCTCGCGGGTCGCGGGCAGCGAGCAGACGACCGCTTGGCGAGCCAACGGAGCCCGGCGTGCGGCCCCTCCCGCCTCCTCCTCCGCCAGCCGCCGCCTCCTCCCTCCGGCTCCTCCCGCCCCACCTCTGTGCGCGGCGGAGGCGCCCTCTCCCTGCCTCTTTCTCCCGCTCCCGCTCGCCCGGCTCTCTCTCGCTCATACTTCCCCCTGCTGTGCTCCGGAGGGGGGGACCCAAGCATTCTCGGGGCGCTCACCGTGGGGGTCCATGGTGCTAGGGAGAGCTGGGCAGAGCTAGTTGGAAGCCCCCCCGTCCCTTCCCCCCTCTCCAGGCGCAGCCCGTGAGGGCGCGCAGCACCTTCTCGCTCTGCGCGCTGCCGGGGCGGACGGGGTGAGGAGGTGAAGGGGAAAGCCTGCGGAGCAAAAGGGGGGCCGGCCTCAGAGCTCAGATTTCATTTGCATTGAAGGAAAGCACAGAAGATCAGGTTTTTATTTTATTTTATTTTTATATTCTGCTTTTTTTTTTTAAATACTCCCCCCCCCCCTTTAATTTTTTTTTTTTTTTAAAGAAACTTATTTTGGGGTGTATGCTCTGGGCATTGGCTTTGCCCAGTAGTTGAACAGTCAACTCGACTCGTGATGGTTCTCCTGTCACTTTGGTTGGTAGCAGCCGCTCTGGTACAGGTTAGGACTTCAGCTGATGGACAAGTAAGTGGAAAAAAAAAAAAATGAAAAAAAAAAACCAAACAAAAAACCCCCTCAAACCCAACCTTTTCCCGAAAAAAGTTCCTCCCTTCTTTCCCCTCCTCTTCTCTCCTCCCCTCCCGCCCTTCCCCGTTATCTGGTGCCTCCCGGAGCGGTGTTCGGAGGGCTGGGTGCTGCGCGCCGGGCGTTCGGGGGTGCGGGAGTGGGAGGCGGGAGTTGGATGGCGGGGGGAGCCCGGGCTGGTCCCACCTGGGACTCCCCCGCTTTGCGGCATTCCTAACCATTCCTGGTTGCAAACTGCAGCCCATTCGCATCCCCGCCGGGGCCATCTGTCTGGGTTTCCCCTTCCCCGGAGGGCGGTCGGGGCGCTTGAATGAAGTTCCGGACGCGGGGGGTCCAGGGTCCCAGCGCTCCGGCTGCTGCCGCCCGGAGTCGGGTTCGCGGGGATTTCTCTTCTCACTGACTCACAGCTCTTTTTTCGGGCAGACAGAAGCGGGGGTTTCAGGAAGTCCTTGAGCCGGCCAGGGAGCCATCCAGCAGACACGTGTCCTGGGAGGACTGCGGCGGCGGGACTGGGGTTTGACAGTTGCTAAGCGGGGGCTGGGACGTTTCCTGCCCTGCGTTTTCCTGGGCAGAGAGGCTGGAGGCACCCGCCGCCGCCCTCCCCTCCCCCTCGGCCGGGCTCCTCTGGAAAGCTGAGTGCAGCTCTGTTTCTTTTTGGCCCAGCCCCCACCCTTTGGAGACTCAAGGTGAAGCCCGATGCTCTCCAAAGAGTCCTGAAAGCTCAGGCTGGGCGAGCTAAGCTGTTTGTAGTAAATTCACATCCTCCCAGGGCTGGTAGGGTTTGGGGGTGCAGAACACTTCTGTGAGTTTTTTTTTGGTGTTGTTTGTTTGTTTGTTTGTTTTTAAGCTGCTCTGGTTTGCCTGGTCTGAACACAGGGTAAAAAAAGTATGAAATTGCTCATTCTTGACCTCCAGTCTGATAAACCAGCCCCCCTTGTTAGGCTTCTTTACACTCGTTTAATATATATTACACTCTCTTTTCTAATCCTGACCCAGTAGCTGGAGTTTTCAGAAAAGAACAGTGAGTGTCACTGTTTAATTTTACTGATCTCATAAATGCTCAGTTAAAATTAAAACAGGCAAACATTTCCCCTGCCCCGAATTGTTACTGAATTGGCTCTTACTCAGGGCACAGGAACCTCCTACAAACCCAGGTGCAGTCTGGAGGCACCAATGCGGGTCTCCGGCATCTCCTGATTAAGCTAGCTCCTGAAAAGCATTAATGGTAGAAATAAAACGCACGAGGTGATAAGATGAAACCCAGTAACTGTTTCTTTTCTTACTCTCCCCCCTCCTTTCCAGGCTGGTAATGAAGAAATGGTGCAAATAGGTAAGCCTTGTTCTCAGATGTCATTCTTATCTTAGTAGAAAGTAGGAAATGAAGTAAGCCAAGCAAAATATTGTTTCTGCAATTTCTCCTGTGGTTAGAAAAAAAAATAATTTATAGTCCAGGAACATTTCTGTTCTTCTCTCCCTCTTTCCGGAGGAGAATCCCACTTTCCTCAAGCTGAGTTATGGTAAAAAATTCTCCTGCAGTTGGACTTTTCAAGCATTTTATTACTGTCTTTGGATAAACCCCTGGTAGGTTCTTGTAGGGCTGGAAGAAGAGACGGAGATAAATCAAATCAAATAAACCTGTGTAGCCTTAGGACGGACACAGCTGATTAGAGCAGAAGGCAAAGTGTAAGAATGCTACAAAGAAGGGAAAAATGAAGTACTGAGGATGGAAATTTTTCTCTTAAATTTTTTTCCAGCTCTCAATAAACCCTCCAGTGACTTCTTTTATTTCATATGCTATAAAATGATTACCTACAAAAGTGCAAGCTACTATTAGGTCTTTTGCAAATATCATCTAAAACCTCACTGATGATGTGGGAATGGTTCCCATTTTATGGGTGAGGAGACTGAGGCTCAGAGAGTGTGACTTGAACAGGTCACTCCACAAGTCCATGATCTTTTTTGGAACTGTTTATAATAATATATTTGTTCTGAATTCAGAGGCTGAAAGTCATCTGGCAAGGAGCCAGGCTCCAGTCAAAGCCTTTTTATACACACTTAACTTGGGTTACTTTAAAAGATAATTTTTCTTTTTGGCTGAGTACTACTAGTCCGTGTAAATTCTGTATTTGTCAAGTGATACTGTAAAGTCATCTTTTCGACGAAAAGTTTTATTGCTGTAAGCAGAGTTACAAGCCATTGACCATGTACTATGTGCCAGGCGGTGTTAATTGCGTTGTGTACATGATGTCATCTAATTCTCGAAACCACACTATAAATGATGGACACCATGGTGCCTATTTTAGACTCAGAGAAAACGAAGCTGACAGGCTACACAGTTACCTGCTGTGGTGCATAACGGAGAGCTGGAGGGATTCTACACTTGTATATTAATGGGGAGGACCCCAAGATCCAGCCCCAGGGTAGCTGTATATTTATATATAGCTGTATACCAGCCTTTCTACCGAGTGCTTAGCATTGTTGGGACTCTTCCTCAAGTGTAAGCCCCTGGTAGGTTACAGAAAGAGCGGGACAGAGGAGAGGAGAGTGAATGAGAACTGAATTTCAAACCAGGTGTCCATGAAGGGACATCTGTCATTTGTGGTTCAAAGCACTCAGCCATCAATCTATATCTTTTTAAAGAAGGATTTAAAACACACACACACACACACACACACACACACAACACACAACAATCCTCAAACAAGCAGGGAAAAGAAAACTGTTTTAGTTTATTACTTATTAATAGTCACTTGATTGCTGAAACATCCCAACTTTTTACTATGTAAATTCAAAAGCTCTTTTAAGATTACCCATTCAACCGAAGGGAAAAAGTATATGGCTTTCATTTCATTTTCAGATAGAATCAACATGCTGTCATGTAAGACAGTTGGGTTAGATTTTGGACCAGTTCTTTGGTTGATATAAATTACTTTGGTAGCCCTTGCCTGCAAGGAAGAAAGTAGTACAGGTGTGCTTAATTTTGGTGGGAAGGAGATGAGTATCCTGTTAAAAGAGAGGAGGGTCACTCTTAGGTTGTGTTGCTGGATATTTACTTCCTTCCAAGGTCCTCAATTTTTTGGGATTTCTTTATTATCATTATTTTCAAGTTCAGTGATGATAAAAATACATTTGGACTCAGGTCTTGTGATAACAGAAGTGTAGCTATCATTTGGTTTGGGATTATAATTTATGTAGCTCTTAAGAAGGATTTAAAAAGTTATTTTAAAATGTATGTACAATAATGAGGTAATTCTTTCTTGTTCCCATGCAGAAAGCATTTGCTAATATGGAGGTTTGATAAAATGCACACCTCTACATATAATTAACTTTTTTTTCCCCAATAATTGATTTAAAAGTGATCTTATAAAACGACCCAGAGATGCTATTTGATTAGTTATACAACATAAGGTTTGTAGAATTAATCAATTTATATTTGTTGCTGTACAAATTGGCTAGAGAAAATACCATGGCTCTGAATAATTTCTGGATAATTTAATGTTTCAGAAAGAGAGTAATGTAAATTAATGACAAGCTGTAAATTATTAGGAAGCTAAGTTTGAAAAATATTTTTATTTATGCAGGACAGTGCACATAAGTATATATTTTGCTGATTCTTCATGAAGGTAACACTCCATGTACCTGGACCAATAAGAACATTACTAGTGCTTGTGCCATATTCATAGCACCATCACTGTGTGAAGGGTAACCAATGTCTTGACTTTCAACAGGATAGTTATTTTTGCCAGATATTGTTGTGTATGCTTTCTTAAGTGGTATCATAAATATCTGGCTTAGAAAACCAATTAAAAAATATGATATGCTTCAAGGCTATGGACTAGAAAGGTGCTTATTTAGGTAGAAAGAAGGCAGTTTGTCATGGGGGCAGATTAGAATATGTATAGATATATCACCTATGTAGTGTGTCATACTGGCTATTGCTCCTTACCTTTTCTCTCCACTCTGTGGGAAAATGCCCTCTTTTTATGTGGGCAAGTATGATTCACTCTAGAGTAAAAGGGGAAAATAGATTTTGAACTGTGACCCACATTCTCTGCTTCTTTGTCAACCAGAGAAGAAATACCTATCTACCTATTTACACCCATATATACTCAACTACACCTCTGTATAATCATATACATTCATACATGCATATGTGAATGTGTATGCATTGTGTGTATGTGTGTAATTGTGTTTCATGAGTTACTAACATACTTCTGTGGCATATCAGGGTGTTCTTTCATTTCTGACGCAGAATATGGTCTTGGTAGGAAGCCTAGGGTAATTGTGGGCAGGGAGGCTGACTCTGTGACACATGTGGCTTAGAAAATAAACGTAGTTCTGGAGCATCTGAAAAAGAATTCTGAGTCTTTTGCTTCATAAGCATGAAGTCTTTTGCTTTCTTAAGCTTACCTGAGCATCTTTTTAAAAAAATATATTTTATTGATTTTTCACAGAGAGGAAGGGAGAGGGATAGAGAGCTAGAAATACCGATGAGAGAGAAACATCCACCAGCTGCTTCCTGCACACCCTCCACCGGGGATGTGCCTGTAACCAAAGTATATGCCCTTGAGCGGAATCGAATCTGGGACCCTCCAGTCCACAGACTGATGCTCTATCCACTGAGCCAAACTGGTTTCAACTACCTGCACATCTTTAGAGGAAAAATCATTGTGAGGCTTTGGTGTTAAAGCTGTCTTCCTTCCCCCTCTCCATCTCTTGCAATGGGGCATGTTCATCTTTCTGTGTCCTCTTTCTGCTTCCCAACTTCAAATTCAATTACATGTCATTCTTATCAAAATAAAGTTGCTAATCATGCAATTATAATAAATTTACTGAGAAATAAATTTTAATCATTTGCAGATACTTATTTGGTTTTCAAGGATTAGTGTGAATCCCTTTACCTCATTCTTGGCATATAGTAAGCATTCCCTCTACTCTAGACCTCATGAGAGCAAAGGCTTTGTCTCAATGACTGCTGTGTCCCCAGTAACACAGGGCTTGGTACCTTGTGGGTCCTTAAATATTATTATTCAATGAATGATCTAGCAAACGGTATTATCACATTGGGACATACCTGTGTTCTGAAATTTCTTAAGTATGCTTGTTCTGTGTCCCTCTTCAGGTTCAGTTAGAAAGTGAGGATGGTGACCATGGTGATACAACTCAGTGTTGTCAAGGTTTCTTGAGACCTCTCTATACCCCACAAAGTTCAGGGACCGAGCCTTACTGGTTTTTTAGGCACTTTTTGTGCCTCATAAGTATTTGGCAAATTGAATTGAATTATGTGCAGGTTTTGAATGCCTACTCATTTGTTAAAAAGTCTACCTGGGATCATTTGTCCTGTTGCTGGCTTTAGGGGAAATAAAATAAACTAAGATTAAAATGTATCGATCCAGTTTTCCAGCAGCAGTACTAAAGGTGTGGTTTAAAGAAGGGTTACACACATCCTTTGTAACATTTAGACTTTTAGCTACCCAAGACATTCTTCTTTGTAGTTAAAGATCATGCACTTCACTTGACTAATTTAGCTTCTACCCCTCCAATGAGCATCATAATGGTTAATGTTACTGCTTTAAGTTTCTAATATGAGGATATTAATAAAGGCAGCATGTTATCTATCACCAATAACATATTATTGCTGTTTATCTGAAATATTTCTTCCACATGTTTTCACTTCTTGCCCTAGTCATCTTACTCACTAATCAGGATATTACTCAGAAATGTTAAGAAATCCCCAAGGTCACCTCTGCTTCCAAAATGATTATCTGTAAAAAGTCTTTACTTGTGGGCAGCCAACCCAAATTACCTTGGAAATCAATTAGGGACAATCCCAAATTGTCTGGTAAAATCATGAATGAATTAAATATGAGGAGCTTGGTTATACCATGTTGACTGGTTATACCATATTGACAATGATAACATAGATGAAAAATCTAATGCTTGCTATTATCAGAATTTTAGGAACCCTCTCTCTAATGTTCCTCTAATAGAGATCAGATTTTACTCCTAAGCTGTGCTACTTCTATTTTTATAAAATGTGGACAATTATCCTTTTAATTCATCAGTTTTTGCTCTGATTATAGAAGTTTTGCATGTGCCCATTAAATTGAATTTATGTATTGTTTTCCTAGTTTATTGTTTTTCTCATAATGAATATTGTTCAACTGTATTGTATGTAGGTAATTTCCTGCTTCTCAAATGACTACTTTAGGAGAGAGACTTAGAAGTTGATGACCAAGTAAAGCCAAGTTAACATGATACATTTTAACAAATGGTTTTAGAAAAAGTTTGTGTGATCTGAACTCCCACTATCAATATACTCAGAAAGTG